TCTACCATGAAATATATACGTTGGATTAGACTTTTGTCAAATTATATATTGAAAATATACAGTCAGTTATTCATTCGGTTCCCAGTTTTGGCCGTGTAAAACCGTACTATCATGCTCCACTAAACCCTAAGAATCAGAATCGGTTGGTTGTGGCAAGCCATCTGTCAACGTAAAACTTTAAACCTGATCAGTCAAAACAATTTAGAGCTTCGTTTATTATAGAACCAGTGAATCTGGCGTCACCACGCCTTGACAACCATTTCTTCAGTTCTCCAGGCACGTACATTAGGGGCCGAATGTTTGATGATCCAAGAATACCACGGTCAGTTAGTTCCTCGCCGAGATGTGGGGTTCCATGTAGATGTGTTCGTGTTTTCCTTATCTGATTTTTAAATGTCACATGTTTTCCCCAATTATGGATCCGCCATAACCGATTAGCACAGACTGTACTACAACAAATATGTCAATCAATGCAAACCGACACACGACGTCAATAAGTAAATCGATGAACAATTATTGCTTGAATTTCAACAATATGGACATGGACAGTCTTTCTGATAACACACAAACTAGGTGGTTTTTTTATATATTTGTTTATTTATATATTAATTCTAAAGCAGAAGTGAAGAATAGCAGATATCTCAAAGTATACGTACCTGTACTTTGTCATTGCTCGTTAACAAGAGGGCGGTAATAATTAAATGTGGTCTAATTAAATGATGGGGAATAATATAAGTGTGTTTAGTTTTCCAGCTATATGGCGGCGGTCTGTATATAGTCGAGTCTGGACCCGACAATCCAGTGATCACAGCATGAGCATCGATCTGTGCAATTGGGGACCGATGACATGTGTCAACCAAGTCAGCGAGCCTGACCACCCGATCCCGTTAGTCGCCTCTTACGACAAGCATGGGTTACTGAAGATCAAGATTCTAAGCTCGACCTTCACGGGTCAGTCTTTAGGTAGCTTCAATTTAGTTCAGACAGACATACAGACAGACAGATTTTATTCAGTAATATTGGCCATATAAATAAATATGGAGACCATAGATATCATACATCGCTCTCTTTAAAGTTTCATGGAAACTGTCAAAACTGAATGCAGCTGTCAATATAGTCCAGAGAGAAAACACGTGCAATGCTTGATTCCCTTTAATGAGGGCATGAGAGTAACTTAAGATCGTTTATTCCAATTTCCAAAAGCCGACAGTTATCTCACTAAACAATAGGTTCTGAAACTTCATTACATCCAAATGTAAAACATTTTTTTTGGTGCTAAGGATTTGTATTAAAAACAAGACTGTAGTCTGTACTTTATGGAATCCTGCAAGGGACATTGTCGCGTTGTCCCATTGTCGCCCTCTCAAACACAAGCAAAATTAGGGGAAATTAACCAAAGCGCGACAATGCGACAAAGCGACATTTCGGCCATTTGTCGCATTGTCGCGATGTCGCATGTCGCGTTTTGAATATTATTTTATTCCACCAAAGGGCGACAACGCGACATAGCGACAATTTTCAAGGTCAAAATATGTCGCATAATTTCATTGTCGCCCCATCTAAGATGTGTAAAAAAAACCTAAAAATGAGCGACAATGCGACAATGCGACAAATGAATGTGTTGCATTGTCGCGTTGTCGCCCTTTTCGATTTACCGGTGCGCATGTGTACAAAGTCAATTAGTCTACGCATGCGCAGAAAATGTTGTCGCATTGTCGCGTTTGTAGTCAATTCGTTATAATGCATACTATTCTGAGGGAAAAAAACAAGGGGTCACATGAAAGGGCAGGTGTTCCTTTATTTCTTTCCAGGTATCTTCACAAGCTTTGTATCACATATGCTTTCATGTGATCTGACGCGTTGTCACATTGTCGCGTTTTATTAGTTACTGCGGAATTTAAAAACTATCGCAAGCATGAAGGGTTAAGGGTGGGTTAAGGGTCATTGGTTAATGGAATGGATGTATTCAAACTGGCCATTTTGATGAAAATTATTATGATTGTATAGGCCTATATTTGAAAGGTATCGCTGGGTAAAGTATCGTCTGAAAAAATTATCGATGTATTGTGAATCCTGGCATGTCCGGGATTAATTGTATAGGATTCAAAGAGAACAGAAAAACAGACTTCACAACACATTATTGTGATGAAATAGCTTGCTAATTTACCAAACTCGCTAAGCCTTGAATGAATGAGTGAGTGAGTGAGTGAGTGAGTGAGTATGGGTACTCCAAGGGTACGCAACTCTGCCAAGCGATTCCATCATTTTTTTATATCATAATGATAACAGTCCATTTGTATGGCGTTTTTCCAAGAAGAATATCAAATTCAAAGCCAACCTAAACTGTCTTTGAGGTGCGGGAGGGTTAAGTCATATTACCATCTCATTCTACCTGGTATCAATCCAGTGCTGGCTGAACAGAGGCAGATCTCGGACAAATTCATCAGCGTGGGACAGGACTGTCCCAAGAAACTCTGTCAGGAGCTTAACTGTCGAACATAATCACCCATTCGAGGACTCACTTGATGTTTATGCCGATGTGGCCTGAATTTTACAATATTTCAGTCTTTCACAACCTGTCAGCTTGATATTGGTGAAATGTCCAAAGTGATGAATGTGTATGGTGCTGGGATTCGAACCTATGATCATAGTTTTCTGGTGCGACTAAGAGACGCAACCCTACACAGCGAATTGCTAGAAACGCTTAGAATGACAGGACCACCGTGTGCCGTCATTACAATGAAACGTAGCGCTAATAATTTGTCTTGCTGTTAAAGCACATTTCACTGGCTAAATACATTTACAATATATGAAATAATTTTCAAAGCAACAATGAAAGATTTGCATTAAGTTCAAGAAAAGCAGCCCCCATAGCCATTACGAGTACTACTTCATTTTAAAAACCATTGGTGGTAACAAAAGACCAGTGAAGTCTGAAATAGAGTATAACATATTCTGCGCATGCGTAGACTAATTGACTTTCTACCCAGGCGCACCGGTAATCGAAAAGGGCGACAACGCGACATGGCCGAAATGTCGCATTGTCGCAGTGCCGCGCTTTGGTTAATTTTGCCTCAAGTTGTTTTTGAGAGGGTGACAACGCGACAATGCGACAATGTCCCTTCCAAGGGGGTTGATTGTATAGCACTAGGTACTTTGCTTTTTCACTAAAGGAATATTTTAGAACATGCTGATGGGTGCAGTAGGAGCCCTAGGGCCGTGAACAATGACACACGCTTCTCATTATCTGTTTAGCAAAGATTTTAAATGATTATGGAAATACCTTTTGTCGCTTCATTCATCAGCGGTGTGAACTTCAGAGTTAAATATCTGAAGACATTCACCTAAACTCATGAACATAAGGTTCCCGGTACTGGCTTTAACTACTGGTCTAACGCATACACCGACAGGTGCCACATGGGGTAAACTTTAAGCCGATGGGAGGTGCGTTTACAGTTTGCGAATGTCGTCTTCTTTAAATTTGAAATGTCGGGTCGGAGTGCGCCTATATATATACTACCCATCAAAAGTTTAGACTCACTTAAAACATTCACTATATGTTATGTATGTATATGTCAGGGTAGAGACTGCGATCTGGTAGAATCGGAGATTCTACCAGTAGAGATTGCGATCGGAGTCTCTACCAGTAGAGACTGCGATCGGAGTCTCTACTGGTAGAATCTCCGATCCTACTAGTAGAGATTGCGATCGTAGTCTCTACTGGTTGAATCGGAGATTCTACCAGTACATTTTCCAATTCAACTGGTAGAAACTCCAATCCTACTAGTAGAGGCTGCAATCGTCTTCAACTGGTAGAAACTCCGCGTGATCTGTGGGTAAACAACAAAGACACTTTTTCTGAACAGTACTATGCATTTTATTCAGATATAACACTAGACTGTTTCCACTTCTACAGATATATTAAGGACTAAAAATACAAATGTGACTTGAGAGATCATATAACAATATACATATATTTTACAAAACTGATTACAAGCAAGATCAATTGCATAATCAGTGTTTGCCCTAGGCATAAAAATTTAGAAGTCATCATGAGAGGGAGTCATGGACATTTTTGGGGGAGTCAACTTCTTTCATCAAGAGATCAACTGTTATCAGGGTTCGAAATACCCCATATATTAGTGTGCCATGGCACGGTCATTATTGAAATGGCACGGCTAAAAAATGTTTCCGGTGCCCTTTTGACACCCCTGATTTTTCAGAGACATAACTCACATTTAGTCATTTAATCCCCAAAACAATTATTTTTTTTCCAAATTAAATAATACCATACATATGTGAATGCTCATAAACCCATTTCTTTATTTAACAATAAATTTCAAAAGATCATCATCATTGTCATTTATTCAGAAACATGTGGGCATACTCAATTTCTGAAAGGCACACCTAAAATAATCAAAAGTACTAAACTTTATTTTGGCACACGTTAGTTGTTGATGGGTGGCACTTTGTTGAGCATTTCATTCCTTGTTTTTTGCACCTACATCTTCCACAGCTTTCTCATATGTTTCTCGGGTGATGCAAAATGTTTCTTGTTTCTTCTTGTCAAGCTGTGCAATGTGGTCATCCAGCAGTTTGTAAAACTCGGCCTTCTGTTCCTCCATTGTCGACTGGTGTGTGGTGATCTCTATGGCCTTAACTGAATACTGGTTCATGCTCAAATCTATTCACCTTATATAACCATAAACAGTGTGAGTAACACCTCTGACATCTGACGTAGCTTCAGCCCAGTATCCATACACTTAGTTAAAACAACAAAATGATTTCACCTTTGACTAATTGATCCATGAGAGTAAGGGGTGAACAACACAAAGATAAGCTGGATTAACAGTTTGAGATTAACAGATTAAGACTGACTGAAACTGAGTTAACGATTATATTAATTAACTTAAGATTGGTTTGTTTAAACATATTATATTTCGAAAGAAAACTGAATTGTTAAACAAGCATGTTGGCTTATTGTAACACTGCTCCAGGAAATACAGAATTGGTTTGTTGTTATAAGCTATAGGTGTATTGGCATGTCGGCATTTTGGGAGGATAGGTGTAGGGCAATTCCCCACCAGGTCATTACCCCATCTGCCATATCCCCACCTGGTCATTTCCCCACCTCTTTGGAAAGCAGTGTTTTTATAACAATTACTGATCATAAGTTTTGAAATACATCTGAATGAACTTCCTACTTTTAACTGAGACTTTGATAACAAACATTTAACACCTCACTGTAAACAATATCAAAATAAAAATTAAAAATGGTTTGTAACACTGTATTTACATCATGAGACTTAGCTGCTAAATTTGGAATCCACTCAAAAACAAAAACAAAATACCTTACTCCAAAACAGACTTAACAAATAAAGTTAACAAGATATTATAACAATAAATAAGTTCAATTATAACTGGCAAATAATAGGAAAACATTATCCCCACTTATTATACTTGCTTGCATAAGCTTGCACTTGCTTGCACAGGTTATTCCATATAATCGTAGTCTCTACCAGTAGAGACTACGATTGCAATCTCTACTAGTAGGATCGGAGATTCTACCAGTAGAGACTCCGATCGCATAGGTTATTCCATATAATCGTAGTCTCTACCAGTAGAGACTACGATCGCAATCTCTACTAGTAGGATCGGAGATTCTACCAGTAGAGACTCCGATCGCAGTCTCTACTGGTAGAGACTCCGATCGCAATCTCTACTGGTAGAATCTCCGATTCTACCAGATCGCAGTCTCTACCCTGACATATATATGGTTACAGCGAAGATGAATTTCTCCACTAACTTGGGGTAAACAACTGCAAACCATATGCAGATTAATTGCACGAGGATCATGCATCAAACTGCTGAAAAATATATATGCAAATATCGTGCATGTGAACAGCTGCGTTTTGGTGTGAAGTTTTGATAAGAAATTCGCCATTTTTAACCGAGTTTCATCATTTATTGAACACATGACAATAATCTTTTCAACGTTATGAATTTGTTTTACAATACATCAGTTCCTGTATAAACAGCACCCTTAAACAGTATGGAGTATTTTGCCAAAATTAGTTTAAAACAGTTGCCTGAAGTAAGTGACTACATGTACACTAGTGAGTCTAAACGTTGGGGAGTATATATGAAGCATTCGTCATCACTCGCCCCCTTCCGTGGCCTCCAAGATCACTTGTCCTCCGATCGACAAAATTCATATTCGAAAATACGACAAACCAATCAGAGTTCTCACTTAAATATCCACAGTGAAGTGAAATGTAAGCACGGTGATATACAGTATATATAATATTTTTAAACTCGTACCTATGTTTCATATTAGATAGAAATGTCGTTAAGCGCACGTAAAATACCCAAAGCTAATTCCATTGTTATTATTGTAGCAGATAATATCTATTTTCCCCCGTCTGAAGCAATATTATTTTGTTTTTAAATCCCAGACACCCTACAGTCACTAAAGGAACTGCAATCACATTTCAAAAAAATAATTCTTAGGGACTGGTCATATATTTATAGGGGTGACTTTGCTGGCTGGAACTGTATCACATTTTGCTGACAAATAGTATTTTCGTTAAATGATATGGTCTATTTTAAAATTTATCTTGATCTCAAGCGGTCCCTCTGTTTCGCTTGATTCTTCTTCATCTTCACTGAAAGATTGTCTTGACATCCATTTCAGAAATGACTGACTGACTGACTGACTGACTGAGTTTGCTTTTACGCCGCTTTTAGCAATATTCCAGCAACATCACGGCGGGGAACACCAGAAATGGGCTTCACACATTGTACCCTTGTGGGGATTCGAACCCGGGTCTTCGGCGTGACGAGCCAACGCTTTAACTACTAGGCTACTCCACCGCCCCATTTCAGAAATGACATCTTTTACTGCTTCAGAATCCATGGACACTGTTAAGTTGTGAGGCAAAATCAAAGAGGAAGCCATCAGCAACAGGCACATATGACGTCATGTCACGTGATATCCCCTCTGCTCATTAACTGTCGGGTGTTTTTATTGCTATTTTACAAACTTTTTGTTCACTTTTAATCACGGAAGGTGACTTTTAGAATATCCTTTACAATATATCAAAAGTTTTGTTTTCGTTCGTATCCTCCTTTAATATATCCTTTGAATATCTCAACTGGATACACGATAGCGGTTACAAAGGCATTATGTGTATTTGAATCTCTCACCGCTCGTGGCCCTATATTTATTAAAAACAAATTAGGCATTTGTAATTTCAAATGTCCACATATATAATTCACGTTGTTTCAAACATTCACATAATGCCATAACCGATTAAAGTACTCAGGATTATCTTTATTGCCTACCCTAATCCTTGCGCGCATTACGATTGGTTAGTCGTATTTTTGCACATAACCATTCATCGATAGGAGGAGGGAGAGACCGAGTTTTCTTGGAGGTTACGGAAAGGGGCAACTGGTGACGAATTGTCCAGGATCGTCCTGTCGGTCAGATTAATAAATGTTAATGAAGTTAAACCCAAAGTGTTCATTTTAGACGCCCCTCAGTTTCAAGAAGTAATGTTTTATTTGTATGTGGTGATACGGAATTGGAAACAGCAGATTGTTATAATTATCAAGGTTTACTTTTAACAGAGCATTTAGATTATTTACGTATGGCAAAATCTGTAGCTAATTCCTCTAGTTGGGCCCTTGGGTTGTTAATTACTGAGTATAAATTATTAGACGGTATGTTGTTTTATTCTATAGTTTGGTCTACCAATAATTACGGTGTATCGATATGGGGCACTTATAGGCCTCGCTCTTATAGACGTGCTTTAGTACTGTTTAGATGTGGTGTTGCTCCTCTAAGAGTTGAAACTGGACGTTATAATTGTACTCCTCTAAAGGAAAGAACATGGTTTTACTGTAAAGATTTTATTGAAGATGAATGTCATGTTTTACTGCACTGTCTACTGTATTCTTTTGAAAGAGATGTCCTTTTTAGTAAATGTGAGTAGCTTACTGTTAGTTTTATGCCATTTAGTGACCTTGATAAGGTTAGTTTTGTACTGTCCAATCCACAAGTGTCTTTTAATACACCCCAACCCTGCCTTCTTATCTAACGGCGGCGACATGCCCTTTTATGCTCTTAACTTGGTACTGTAAATATGTATGATATATCCTGTATTCATTTAGATTTGTATTTTATATGTTATATAGTCTCTCATAAGCCTGTAAAGATTGGCTCAACGTTTTATTATTTAGTTCTATGTACATATGTGTGATGTTTGGGTGAGACTCAAATAAATGATCTGTGTGTCTGTCTGTCTGTCTGTCTGTCTGTTTCTGTTATGTTGGCGAGGTGCATTCAGTAGTATTAATCTTATATAGGAATATAGGCAGGAGGGTGCTTGTGACTGATAAGTGCTAAACTTGACACGCGATTAAAGATATTATTTTCTTCGCAAATGAACCTTAAAGCGACAATTACTGCACCACTCGATGTGTGATCCTAATATTTCTCCAGCAATATATGCTCACTGGTGATAAAGAATCAGATATATTATACGGTAAATAGCATGAAATATATAAAGAGTTTAGTAGTTGTTATAATTTTGGGAAGTTATGTTGCTAGTGGGGCCCAGTACAAGAAAGCATCGCGTCATGATACCGAAGCAGATAGAGACGGGTTTTTTTTGCGCGACTTAGCAGAAATCAAAATATAAAACTATTCTTATAATGTATAATTTTTTTACAGTACCGACGTCACACCGCTATAGGGTAATTACATAAACGTCATAGAGAACAACAGAAGTCTATCAGCAAGACAAAGGGAGGCCACTCTATTCACCTTATGTGCTTCACTCAGGCAACCAGATATGATCAACTTCCATTGTTCCAATAAGCGGTGAACACAAGAGAGAGAGAGAGAGAGAGAGAGAGAGAGAGAGAGAGAGAGAGAGAGAGAGAGAGAGAGAGAGAGAGAGAGAGAGAGAGAGAGAGAGAGAGAGAGAGAGAGAGAGAGAGAGAGAGAGAGAGAGAGATGCAACTTGTGGCATATGTTTAGGGGAAAGTATACGAAATCAATGACTTTGCAGATTTGTCATGTTCCACTCGGTGGCAGAGTGGGCAATTGATGGTCACAATAGTAAACCTGTATAGCGATCCGTGGAGTATTGACATCCCCATGCTCAGTTACACGTGTGTTGCTCAAACGCATTTTTTAAACGTTTTGGATAAGTTATAAGAGAGAATCATATCTTTGTTCTAAAAGTGTCACCATGAGAATGGGTACTCGCTGTTTACGCTGTTTAAGTAACGCCATGGAAAGAGGTTTAGTAAGAAAAGCCACAGTTGAACGTCTCATACATTGTTCACTCTGAGCCATCCATTGAAATAAATGCGACAAAACCTTTTCCACACCCATAAGAAATCTCTGCTTAAAGCATAGTCGCCTGTACAATACCGACTAGAGAGAGGGTGTCAGTGACATCAGTAGTAGCAGTACTTGTTGCCGTTATTGTTAGTGGGTGGTGATAGTAAATACAGTAATGGCGGTGGTAGTTGTGAAAGTGCACTACATGAGACCTATGTTGTGGCAGTAGAGACTTGGGTGTATTATATTGACAATTCAGCAAATATTCCTCCCCATATTTTCTGATTGCTGTTTGTCATAGGTACAGTACAGTGAAAACCTCATTACTGCATCTTTGTCTTAAGAGAGTTAGCAAATGTCGTGGAGAGACATGGGTGTTTACATTAACTAAATGGTTACCATTAGTTACAGATAACTTTCATGACAAACGAGAAGACGTTAAAGGAAAACAGCATGAAAGGCTCAGGCTCCATGCACGTTGCATTATGTGTCTGTATCTACAATCAATATGCAGTTACGTGAGCTGACGGATACTTGTGTGACTATATGATCGAAATGAGTTTTCCGCAAGTTAAGGCAGAATACGCAATTCGGTCAATATTCATTTTCTGATACCCTCGTAGGGGAACGTTAGTATTAAATAACCTTACTTGTGA